GTAAGTTGTAACGTTATTATTAGCCCTTTCCATACGATTGTTAACAACCGGTTCGTGGAGGTCATTCAATTCTAAGAACAGGTTCGCACGAACCGGTGCAAACCGGCTGAATCCCACCACTGCCTTAGAGTAAGTCTGAAAATTACTGTAATTCTATTGAATTTTTTTTATAGCATTAATACGATTTTTGCTATTAGGAGAATCCTTTTATTTTTATCCAGTGTAAGCTGTAACGTTATTATTAACCCTTTCCATACGATTGTTAACAACCGGTTCGTGGAGGTCATTAAATTCTAAGAACAGGTTTGCACGAACCGGTGCGAACCGGTTGAATCCCACCACTGCTTTAGAGTAAGTCTGAAAATTACTGTAATTCTATTGAATTTTTTTTATAGCATTAATACGATTTTTGCTATTAGGAGAATCCTTTTATTTTTATCCAGTTTCAAGTACATATAATCTTCAATTCTTATTTTCTTTACATGAAACAAAAAGAAGGCTATTTCATTTGTATGAGTTTTGTTGTTTTATGTTGAATTTTAAGCACTTGTTATTTACACACCTTTTGTTAAAATTTAAATGCCTGATTTCGCTTGATGACTGATAAATAAAGTTTAAACAGTCTTAACCTTATATAATCCTATATAGTTTCAGACTGATTAATTTTAACTGTATAAGATTTGGTTCAGATGTGTACTTTTAATTAACAGGAAGAATTAATGACTTAATATTTGATTTTGGCTACCAATAATGCTACATAAAACAAAATATTTAGTATATACTACTTATTTAACAGGACACTAAGAAATTTGCCTTGACCACAGGATAAACTGGAGATCCATATCTCATACCCAAGGCTGACACTAACCCATAAACAGACAGTCCTAACTTTGAATAGATATTTAAACAACTTGAGTGAGAAAACCTGAAGTATGAGACATTATTTTTTATTTCACTGCTATGCAGGTTTTAACAGGCATGAGTTCAGAAAAAGGTGAAAATGTAGTTGGAAGTAAATTCAAGATCAATACTGTGCTTCTTCCAATCAAGATACACTACTTTATATTCTTTGCAGGTGAGGCCTTATTATGTATTTGTTTTTGTAATTTTTGTAAATAATAGAAAACTATATATTATGACAAGTAGCTTTTTACTTCATATACACGTGCATGTTTTTGTTTGAATTTAATTCTCTTTATCAGATGATTTAACATATTACATTGTTATTTTCATTATCATGATCATTCATTTTTATATATGTCAGGTACTTACTTTTTAGTTTATGTATATAGCAATGTAAATATATGGGTGTGTTGGGCTAAGGATTCTTCTACGGTAGGTGTCTGTGATTTGTTAATGATAAATTTGACATCTAAATGAACAGCATGCACTCCACTTGTTCTCAAAATAATATATATATATATTCAGAACAAGTTAAACGTATGTACAAAAATTCCTTACACTATGGAGGTCATAGTTATATCTTAAACACTATATAGTTCTCTTCTTCTCATCAAAAGTCCACTTAGGCCTATTCAATTGTTTTAGAATTCAGTTGACAAGCCGACCTATTTTTTTCTATTTCTATCACCAGACTATCTGTGTATAGTTCACTTACGTTGTCGTTGAGTAATCTTCAAAAATCGTCTGCTCCTTTTTTGTATCTCCAAGAATTGTCTGACTTTTGACTTTAGAACACCCTTTGATGAGACAACTTATTCTCGTTATCTCTTATGAAATTGTTAATCTCACTCTGACATATCAACCATTAGACCTTTCACTCTCACGCCGATTAACTTTGCACTTAACTTTTCTTTGATCAAACTTCTTCTTCCCGTGACTTTACTGTCTTCTGCTCTTTTTTTTGTCTGCTTGCCGCTATTTATACGTATACCACTTAGGCCTTCTAGAAACCTCTATATCTTCGACGTCAATGGATAACATGTGACGTTTGATAGCCTCGACATCAATGAATTATAAACACAATGTACTATTCTTACCGAGTTATGTAACCAAACTTGTCATAACTATTGCCTTTAAAATAATTGCTTTTAACTCTCTTGTTATGAAAAAATAAATAAACAATCATGAAACATTCACTCACAAAATAAATTAATTAATAAAACCTACACTAAACAGTCTTTTATATCTGATAATATACAATAAGTTAGAAATTTATCATATTTGAAATGTGTGTTTCTAATGTAAATTCAATTTAAAAAGTATTCTAAAACTCGCTTTTAATGTGGGAGGGGGGGGGGTTGTACACATTGTACTTCTATTTTCTGTTATATGACTAAAAATAAATTGTTTTGAGGATTTTTTAAATTTATATACATATTTAAGATATAATAGTTTTTACATAACAGTGTTCTCTGTAAGTGCATGTGATGTAAAGTGATCTATCAAAAAAAAATTTCTTGGCTTTGAAATAACAAACAGTCATAAGATGCACACTAAAAATTAAAATGTAAAACAAATACAATTAGATGTTTGAGAATCACTGAACGTTTTAATACAAGGGAAGTATGGTACTGTAGAATATACCAATATTATTTTTTCTAATATAAAAACTGGTTTGCATATAAGTCCATGTTCTCTGTTTTAAAAAGAAGCGGTTGGCTGTTCCATGTAAACCTAGAAAGTCAATATTTAATGCTTAAGATAAATTATTTGTTTAAATGTTTCAGTTAAAGCATGTATATAACATCATTGAATTAATCTTGTACAATTATCCAATTTGTATGTTGTCACTTTAGTATAAACAAATACATTCAAAAATGTTACATCTATGACAACTTTTTAAATGTTCATTCAAATTGAAAATATTAGTTTCAAGTCTGAAATTGTGATAAAAAAAAAAGGTCACTCCCAGTATTTTTAGGCCTGGATTTATGTTCCTTTTAGCCATGAAAGTTTTAATTGTTGGATCATCATTATTTAAAATTTACTATTTATGATCAAAACTTGTGCTTGTGTGTAGTGTTTTGATATTTTTTTTTTTTTCACTAGCTTTAGCAGGGTTGATTCCATTCCTACCAGTATTTGCCAAGCAATTAGGAATCTCATCTACTGCACTGGGACTCATTTACACTATCCTTCCTATACTAGTAATGATATTTAGACCATTGGTTGGGAGTTTAGTTGACCACTTCCAGAACCTTAGGTTAATTTTGATAGTAATGTTAGTTTTGACAATTGTCTTTTATCTTGCAATATATTTCACTCCTCATCCAGCAAATCCACTTGGTAGTAAGATACCAATGTTGGCAGAGTTTGAATGCTTCACTAATGATAGTGGATTGTTCTTGAATTTCAAAAACATGTCTTGTATATCAATACATTTATATGATGAAACTAATGATTCATTTTGTGGGGGTTTATGCAATAAATGTTTTCCTTCTATGCATCTGGATATTCAAGGTATAGAAGAAAATATAGAAAGATTTAATAATTTTACTACTGGTCTTTGTAATGAAAAATCTCAGGGAACTTTTGAGATAAATTCTTTAATTAGAAAAAGTGACATTTTTCAAAATGCAACTGATTTTCTTTTTGAATCACATTTTACATGTTCTAATCTCCAAAATATGAGTTGTTTTGTGGATTGCAATTTTCATACTGATAAGTGTTTTATATCAAGGAATGTTTATAAAACTTTACAATTTTGGTTATTTTTCATTTTTAGTATAATTGGTTGGGTGGCTTCAGGAGTAACTGTATCACTATCAGACACTGCATGCCATGAAATGTTAGTTGGAACTGAGTATGAATATGGCAAACAAAGGTTGTGGGGAACTTTAGGTTGGGGTGTAGCTGCTGTTCTCTCAGGATATCTGATTAGAATATCTAGTAAAGAATCCACTTTTGTAGATTATTCTCCAGGATTTTTTGTCTTGGCAGTTCTGCTCTTTTGTGACATATTTGTTATTCTCTTTGCAAAAGTCAGTAAGCCCAAACCATCTAAGCACATGAAGAGGGATCTTGGAAATGTTTTGAAACAGGGTCGTACAATTGGAGTTATTATAGTGATCTTTATTATTGGTTGTTTAATGGGTTTGCTGTGGTCCTATTTATTTTGGTATCTAGAAAACTTAGGTGCTGACCAGCTTCTTATGGGAATTGTTTTAGCCATTCAATGTTTCATAGGAGAACTTCCATTCTTCTTTTTTTCAGAGTGGATTATTAATAAGATAAGCTGTATTCATGTTTTTACTCTTTCTTTGGCTTCATTTGGCATTCGTTTTATATTATATTCCTTAATAAAAAATCCTTGGCATGTACTTCCACTTGAGCTCCTTCAAGGACCAGGATTTGGAAGTTTTTATACTGCTATGACTTTGTATGCTAAAACTTCAGCTCCACCTGGTACAGAGGCTACAATGCAAGGAATACTTGGAGGATGTTTTGAAGGCCTAGGTGAGTTGAATGCTCCTTTGTACTTGTTTTACCAAAATAAAAGGAGCTTTTTGTAAGATTTTTGTTCAGTAGTTTAGAATTTGACCTAAGTAAATATATTATTGGACTTGGTAAAACTTTGAGAGTGATGTTGGTCCACTATGTGAAGCTGTAATTTACTGTATGCATCGTCATAAAACGTCACAAGTATTTAGTGAAATTCAAACTCTTTGTATAGAAAGAATCAGATATTTAATAAAATATTTTTACCAAAGATTTCTCTGTTAAATATCCAGCCTTTACTTAGTTAGTCTGAAAAAAAAAGGTGATTTTCATGCTAAGAATGGATGTATTTCTTTTCATCTTACGGTTTTTGTATTTCATTTGCATAACTTGTAAAATCTTCTAAATGAATACAAAAAGTTTTGTTTCTGGTAAAACTAATTTATCTCTTCTTTCCTTTAATATTAAGATCATTAATGTACAGTATCAAGGAAAAACTTTTTATCTGTCTCTCTATGGATGCATCTCCTCCTAAATGAGTTGGCCAATCCAGACCAACTTGGCATGCTTAGTAGTCCAAAAGCAAATGAAATACATAATAAATTTTCCCATATATTGAAACATTAAAGTATTTTCTAGAATACACCCTATATTGTTACTATGGTAGCTATTGTAAAAATAGTTGAGTTTAAACAAATCTCACACCACAAAATTCTACACGTCAATGATTGTAAATAAAATTCTCAACATTTTGGCTTGTTTCCCATCATAACCAAAATATACAATAATAGAATATCTAGCTACAATTGGTGCTGTTTAAGTTTTCCACTTTTTCATGATTCACACTATTTAACTTCCAGTTTATACTAGGGTTATAGTAAGCACTTAGGCATGAATTAGAGAAGTATTTCATAATTAAAATATTTTTAGGATATTTCTTACTTCTTGATGTAGAATATAATTTTCCATAGAAGCAAAATTCAAGATTATTATTAAATTTCATGCATTAAATATACCAAGTTCAGACAGTAGAAATCTTGACCACATCTCTACTGTGAAATGGGTTGCTATGAACAAGAAGTGACACAACTGCTTTGCCATCTCTGCCAAGTTTCTAGATTTCTACACCTCCTCACTTCCATTCCACTTCTCCTGTCTTAAAACATTTTTTTTTTGAGAATGAATGCTACTGAAAATCCTCATTTTGAGAAAATGTGTGTGTTTTCTGTATTTTCAAGAGAAAAAAGATGGAAGTGTGCAGTTTTCTTAAAAATAACCTGCAAAACTTTTAAGGTAACAAGTTTAGAGTGCATTACAAGAGCTTAAAAAAAATCCATTATGGACTGAGAGTTCACTTTTACTTGTAGACTTTCACCGCATCTGTTGGGCTTTCACCAAGGGCAGAGCTAGGTTTGCAATTTGCTGCTCAAAAAATGAGTTAATTTGCATATCTACTTAATTATATAATTGTTAGATTCTGCTGAGAATTTTATAATTTTTAGATTTTTATTTACTTTTGCAAAAAATATATATAACTCCACTTAAAATATATATACATAATATTCAAGGATTTGTAGTACTCACAGACATTGTAGGGAGTTTGTACACAAGTAGATGTTATTCTTTAAGCTTCATTGAGTCTCATAAAGTTGTGGGTCCAAAAAAGAACTCATGTAACTTTTAAATATGCATTTTAAAACATAACTGATATAGCAGTCACAACAACCAAATGTTCCAAAACTACTATAATTTATCTGGCTTACTAAGTAAGCTATAAGTAGCTTTAAAAATAGCGTTGTTCGGACTAGCAATCTAATGATCATGCAACTAAAGATTACAAAGTGAACATTGTAAGTGCCCAAACTAACACACTAGTAACTAGCTCTCCGTAGAGGAGATTCACACTTAAAATTGTTTAGTAATCAATCTCAAAAGTCAGAGTGAGAGAGGAGGGTTTTTTTCTGGTGAGATTGAGAAGCTAGGAACTGCAGATTTTATATTATTCTTTGTAATTATGTATAGTTTGTGTTTCTAATTGTTAATTGTTTTAAGTTTCAACTGTTATAGACCATTATGACCTCTGTGTGAGATGAAGATAAGGATTTATTATTTCACTAGGTTGTGTACAGATAATTTATAAATAGTGAGCATAAACTCACAAGTTTGTTTAACTCTTAGGAACTTGACAGTGAGAGTTAGAATGAAGAGAGTGAAACGTTTAATAGATACAAAACATTTAGTGTATTCATTAGGGTAAAACACAGTTTAAATCATAAGTTATTATAATCATTACTTCTTTTAAGTTTTGACAATCATACCTTAATGATGTTTAAATCAATTACCTTTTTAATTTTGTAACCATTCATATTTTCACAAATTATATCTTACTTTAATTCTTCAAATACAATATGTAACAAATAAACATTTACTGTTAATAAATATTCTTGGTTGCCATCTTGATATAAAAAAAAGAGCTGAGCTCTTTTTCTAACTGTCGTGCTTACTGACTACCGATATTCGTCTTGTGATTTTGATTGTGCTTGTGACTGTTTTTGCTAGCTGGGCACCAAGTTTTTAGTGTACAAGGTAGCCATGGTATTGTGGGTTATTATTCTCATTCATCATGCATGCGCAATAACCAATCAAATGTATGCTGGAATATCCAGTGAACCTTTGATTAATCCAATGAACTGACCCCATTTCTGTAAAGCTGTACACAGTAATCCATATATCTTCACAAAATTTGATAAGCTTTTAGTAAGCATTACAAATCTGTTGTATATACAAAATCAGATTTTTGAATAAAGTATTTCTACTAAAGATTTGTCTATGAATTTCCAGAGTCTTTACTGACTCATATTCTGACTAGTCTGAGTGCAAGGTGATTTTCATACTAGGAATAAAAATATTTATTTTCATTTTAGAGTTTTTCATATTTTATTTGCATAACCTCTAAAACATTTTAAATGAATATCAAGTTGTATTTTCAGAAAACTTTGTATTATTTTATATTTTGTTTTCTCTATCCTAACACTAACTGTAGCAAAATCATCAATTTAGGATAGCCTTGCCAACCCTCCCAGAATCACATATATTTTCCCGTCTCCCAGAATGCTTGACAAGTCTTCTGGATTCTCAAAAAAAAATTATTAAAATATAAAGCAGAACAAAGCTTTTTGCTCCTCGCACTTTAATGTCACTTGATGAATGTGTAGCTCATGTTACCATATTGAATTACATAATTTATGAGCTGCTTACGAGCACACACACACACACATGGTTTCATTAAGGGAAAATCCTGCCTTGCTAATATTTTAACATTCTTTAAAAACGTTACTGCTTATGTAGATGAGGGTAAGGGTGTAGATTTGGTGTATCTGGATTTTCAGAAAGCATTTGACAAGGTGCCACATAAAAGGCTTGTAAAAAAATTAGCTCTATATGTGTGGAGGATAAGTTAGCAAATTGGATGGAAGATTGGCTGGATGGAAGAAAACAGAGGGTTGTTACAAATGGAGTTCAGTCAAACTGGATTAATGTCACAAGTGGGGTACTTCAGGGCTCAGCCTTAGGACCTCTGCTCATTTTGATTTACATCAACGACATAGATGAAGGGATAGTCAATAAATTACTTAAATTTGCAGATGATATTCACGTCTTGGGTGTTGCAAGCTGTGAAGAGGATGCTGCTGATTTACAAAAGGATTTGGATCATTTAGTGAGTTTGGCAAATAAATGACAACTGGATTTTAATTATAATAAATGCAAGATAATGCATGTGGGTTATCATAATTTGAATTATAAGTATAATTTAAATGGAAATAACCTTAATAGTGTTATGACGGAAAGGAATCTTGGTGTAACAGTCGATAAGTCTCTAAAGACATCCAAGCAATGTACTGTTGCTAGTGGTAGGGCAAAAAAGATTTTAGGTTGTATCTATAGAAATATTGAATACAAGAGGTTATACTTTTATTGTACAGGTCACTGGTTAAGCCACATTTGGAATATTGTGTT